TCCATACACTCCTTCTTCTTCTTCTATTCTTTCTGTGTTCTTCTTCTATTCTTTCTGTGATGAGGAGTGAAATTGAATTGGTATCGGAGAAGTGTAGTGAGCTTGCAGTTATACCTGAAGCTGAGTATGGTTTGAATAAGGAAGGGAGGGATGCCTTCAGGTCTGTTTCAGGGAATGTTGTCCTAGGGGAATGCATAGTTGGGTAATGCGTAGTTAAGGATTCACCTGAGGGGGTTACGGTTTGTGTGGGGAGGAATCTCCATTTTTAGTTATCCAATGCTGAGGCTTCGGCTCTGCTCAAAGAGCTCCGTTTGCATGTAGCCTTGAAAGGCTCTTATTGCAGGGGTTGCGGAGAATGAGTCCGTTAGTTTCATGTGTGTAGCCTTGGAAGGTTTTAACTGTCTGCCAACTACAGGGACTGAGGAGAATGCACCTATTAGATATTTGGCTAATGGAGAAGATGACTATCTCACAGGTTCGGTGTTTGACAGTGGGGGAGATACTGAAGATGATGATGACCTTGGTTCTATCCAATAGGTTTACTCTAATGAGCTAACCCCATGGTTGGAGAATGAATGTTCTAATGTGGAACCTTTGGCTGTTTTGTGACCTGATTCTTCTACAGATATGGGAAAGGACTGGGTTATTGATAATATAGGGGTCACTAGCGAGCTGCTGGGTGTCTCATCAGAGGGTAATAACGTTTAGACTTTATCTATCCTTCAAGATATAGTGGAAGGAAGAGAGATTGCTGTGACCACGGAAGTAATGAACACCAGGCCTCTATCTTGGAAAGGGGCGCATGAGGTCAAAAATCTAATTTTTGATGTGAACTATGAAGGGAAAATAGGGGTGTGAAGGAAAGGGGAAGGACCAGAAGTAGGAACTTAAAGAAGGGGGGAGGGGAGTTAATCGCATCTGGTTTTTAATGAAGCTACAAATTATTACTTGGAATGTTCGTGGTCTCAATGACCCGAATAAGAGGAGGGTGGTGAAGGTAGCTTTAAGGAAATGGGGGCCAGGTGGTTTGTTTGCAAGAAACCAAGTTTGCATCCATTTCTGACGGGGTGGTTAGAAGCTTGTGGGGAGGAAGGTTTGTGGAATGAGAGGCCTTGGATGCCACAGGTTCTTCGGGTGGAATTTTAGTTATGTGGGACAGCAGATGGTTGTCTAAAATGGATGTGTGGATTGGGAGATTTTCTGTTTCCTATGAGTTTAAAATGGAGGAGGATGATTTCAGATGGGTCTTTTCTGGGGTCTATAGACCGGTTGTTGATAATGATAGACCTATTTTATGGGAGGAGCTTAGCCTTGTTCAAGGAATGTGGCCTCTCCCTTGGTGTTTGGGAGGGGACTTTAATTCTGTTAGGTCCCCGTCCGAGAGGTCTACTGGGGGAAGGAGGTCCTTAGATATGGATCAGTTTTCCGACTTCATAGATGAACATCTTCTCATTTATCTTCCAATGGAAGGTGTAGCCTATACTTGGTCTAATGGCAGGGATCTAATTACCCTCTCAAGACTGGACAGATTTCTGATCTCTGGGGAGTGGGAAGAAAAATTTGCGGATGTTGTTCAGGCGGTCTAACCAAGGGTTACCTCTGATCATGTTCCTTTGGTTTTGGATTGTGGGGATTTGTGTTCTCGTAGAACCCTGTTCCGATTTGAGAATATGTGGTTGAGATCAGAGGATTTCCAAGGGAAAGTTCGATCTTGGTGGGAGGGAGCGCTGGTTATAGGTGCGCCTAGCTTCATATTAACACATAAGTTAAAAGCTCTCAAATTCGATCTAAAGCAATGGAATAAGGACGTTTTTGGAACCTTTAATGGAGGAAGAATAGAGTCCTTGCTGAATTTTCTGAGATTGATCGTCTCGAGGAGGCGGGCGGGGATGTGGAATCTCTTTGTACTAGGAGAGCTTCTTGTCAGGTAGTTCTCGCTGAGATTGCTACATGGATGGGATTTCATGGCGACAAAAATCCCGGGCTCTATGATTGAAAGAGGGGGATCGTAACACAAATTTTTTTCACAGGCTAGCTAATGCTCACAGAAGGACTAATCACATTGGGCGCATTCGGGTGGAAGGTGTAGAGCTGTGGAGGGAGAAAGAGGTGCGTAATGGGATAGTTTCTTTTTATCAAAAGCTCTACACAGAACCATTAGGTTGGAGACCCAAACTTGATGGACTCCCTTTTGAGGCTATTTCTGAGTTGGAGAAAGATGGGCTAGAGCTTCCTTTTACTGAAGAAGAAGTTCTAAAAGCCTTATCAAGTTGTAATGGGGACAAAGGGCTAACGGGTTTACCATGCGCTTTTTGACGAAAAGTTGGGCGGTTGTGAGAGATGAGGTGATGGGTACCTTTCAGGAGTTTCATTCTACTGGTGTTTTTGAGAAGTCGCTAAATGCATCATTTATTGCCCTCCCTAAGAAAGGAAGCACTTTTGACATTAAAGATTTCCGTCCTATTAGTTTGGTGGGCTGTAATTACAAACTTATTATAGCTTAGGTGCTTGCTCAAAGGATGAAAGGAGTTATGGATGGGATTATCTCGGATTCTCAAAATGCTTTTGTTGGAGGTCGGCAAATTCTTGATTCAGTTCTTATTGCAGGCGAATGTGTGGATTTAAGATTGCGTAGTGGTGTTCCTAGAGTTCTATGCAAACTCAATATTGAGAAAGCTTATGATCATGTAAACTGAAATTTTCTTTTCTATTTGCTACAAAGAATGGGGTTTGGAAGCAGGTGGAGGAAATGGATTGAGACGTGTCTTTCGTCTGTCAAGTTCTCAATTCTTGTTAATGGTTCTCTTGCTGGTTTTTTTGGGTGCTCTCGGGGTATAAGACAAGGTGACCCATTGTCATCTTTCCTCTTTCTTATTGTTATGGAGGGCTTAAGTAGACTTATGCGTACGGTAGAGGATCTTGGGCTCATTAAGGGATTCAGGGTGGGAAGAGATATTAACCATCAGGTGGAGATCTCTCATTTGCTATTTGCAGATGACACTCTGGTTTTCTGTGATGCAGATGTGCCTCAACTTAGATACTTGAGGTGCATCCTGGCTTGTTTCCAGGCGATTTCCGGGCTAAAGGTAAACGTGGCTAAGAGCGTGCTTGTCCCGGTTGGGAATGTTCAGGATATCTCTTCTTTAGCTGCAGTATTTGGATGTAGGGTGAGTTCCTTTCCTATTCCTTATTTAGGTTTACCCTTAGGGGTCTCTTCCAGGTTAGTGGGGAGTTGGGATTCTGTGATTGACAGGTATGCAAAGCGGTTGGCAGGATGGAAGAAGCAATATTTGTCTAAGGGGGGCAAAGTAACTCTTATTAAGAGCACCTTATCAAGTCTTCCCACATATTTTCTTTCTATGTTCCAAATTCCATGCTCCGTTGCTTAAAGGATTGAAAAAATTCAAAGGAATTTTCTTTGGGGCGGAAGGGGAGAAGAATTCAAGTATCATCTTGTCAGATGGGAGAGAGTCTGCAAGCCTATGAAGTTGGGTGGTCTTGGTATTAGACGATTGATTCCTTTTAATCAAGCTCCCCTAGGCAAATGGTTGTGCAGATTCGGGAAGGAAAGGCATCGTCCTTGGCGAAGGTTAGTCTCTTGTTGGTACGGGGAAGACGTTGGCGGTTGGATTACGCGTCCAATTTCTATTGCGGGAGGAGTTGGGGCATGGAAATCCATTCGGAAGGGATGGGACACTTTTTCCTCTCATATTAGATTCAAAGTTTATGATGGTCGATGCGTCCGGTTTTGGGAAGATATTTGGTGTGGGGATCAGCCATTATTTCATACTTTTCCCAGATTATACAGTATTGCAGTGGATAAACATGCCTATGTAGTTGACTGTTATCGGCTTGATAATAGTGGGTTTATATGGAATGTGCATTTTCGTCGTTCATTTTAGGATTGGGAGTTGAGCGAGGTGAGTATTTTTCTGGACCAATTGTATCGGCAGGAAGGAATTGGAAGGGGGCACGACAATTTGACATGGATTCCCTCTTCTCACGGTCGTTTTGAAGTGAGATCCTTGTTTTTATGTATGTCTAATTTTGTCAGATTTGACTTCCCATGGAAGACCATATGGCGCTCCTCGGCACCTACTAGGGTGGCATTCTTTGTGTGGACAGCTGTTTGGGGTCAGATTCTGACGATTGATAATTTGAGGAAGAGAGGAAATTGTATTGTTAATTGGTGTTGCCTTTGCAGACAAGATGGGGAATCTGTTGATCATCTCCTAATGCATTGCCCTGTGGCGCACGATTGCTGGAATCTTATTTTAGGATTGTTTGGCATGTGTTGGGTTATGCCACGTTCTACTAAGGATTTGATTCATACTTGGAGAGGATGTCGTGTGAGTGGGGGGTGTTCGCGATTTATGGAGAACTGTCCCACATTGTGTTTGGTGGTGCATTTAGAAGGAGCGAAATAGTAGAATGTTTGAAGGGAATGAGTCGTCTACGGCGACATTGAAACTTATTATTATTCGTTCTCTCTTTAGTTATGTGAAGAGGAGTTCTTGCTCCTCTTCTGATGATTTAATCACTTTTCTGGATTCTTTGGGACCTTGGTCCCCGGATCATCCATGTTTTAGGGATGCGTTCCCCTTTTGAATGCCCTTTTTAATTTATTATTACTTATCAAAAAAAAAAAAAAAAAAAAAAAAAAGGATTACCAATCTGGTGCTTGTGGTTTTTTTATTTATTCTTTATTGTAATATATTTCTGAAAATTTCGAGCTGTGAATAGAGTAGCTTGGGTAGTTTTCATGATAAATTAAACCTCATGCTGTTTAAGTTTGTGTTTCAGCTAATTTATCAGTGGCTAGGGAGCTCTTTAACCCCCCCACCTCCCCCCAAAAAAAAAATAGAAAAAAAGAAAGAAAGAAATATCAACTGAGCAGCTCATAGCATTCTTGTGGTGACTCAATTTTTTTTTTTTGGTCTTAAACGTTGAACTTTGAATAGCTATGTATTTAACAATAGTAAATTTCATATCTGTTAAAGGAAGAGAGATATTCTCAAGCAGTTAGAAGCTTGGAGTTTGACAGACAACTTGGGCCTTATACACTAAGTCAACATGGAGATTGGAAGCGCCTATCCAACTACATCACAAAAAGCATCATTGAGCGCATTGGTAAGACTGTTAGCTATTTCAAATGGCTATTTAATTTTATTTGTTTTCTTTCTACATCGAAATTTCTTTTGGGATCACTTTGCAAATTTGTTCTGCGTTTTATAACTAACTTTTGAGTATATATGTTTATTTAAATGGATACAAGGAGCTAATATTAAACTCAATAGGGATAAGGAGGTAGTTGACACGTGCTTGACACATAATATCAATTTAAAGGAAACAGCTTTGTTTTGCATACAAAAGAGATAGTGTTTTCTTAATAATGTATTAACGTTCATATCATATCAATTACTCAATTCACTTTTGTGGACATTTAAATATTAGAGCTTTTCTATTTGTACTCAATGCAACTTGGACGTTTGGTGTTGAGATGTTTGGAGTTTGAACTCTCTTTCCTCTATCTGTGGTGGCATTGCAAGTTAATTAGTCTGCCAACACTGCACGAGACCTGTTCTTGTACAACACTTTTATGTACAACCTAATATTGTTAGGACACTTTAATAGTGTTGGCATATTCAAATGGATAACAAAAAAATTTTCTCTGGTCAATATGGTTGTGTCACATTCATTGAATGATTTGACGTTGAAGATTTGACTGAAGATTGAAGATTAAGCCAATGTCTGCATCAACATGATTTTTTAAAGCTGACTTGATCACACACTTAAGGGAATTGCAAGTGACTTAGAGAAATAAAAATTTAGATCAGTTAATAATTAGATTAGTTGGTCTACATTTGACCTAGGTAATTGAAAAGAGCCTGTTTGGAAACTAATTGGGAAGTTTTATGTGGAAATGAATCAAATGGTTGTAGATGGTAGAGAAATTGTATTGTGCTTGGACACTGAACGCTAAGGCAAAGTGGACTTTCCCGGAGGTCGGAGGCCTATAGGCCCGTGGGCTAGAGGAACATGCTTGTCACTGCTGATTTATTCGGGGGTACAGGATATCATACTCAATGCAAAATGCCTTGGGCCTTTTCTCAGACATCAAATAGTAGCTACAACTTATGTTCACCCTTTATTGATTGTACTTTTGTTTTCTGCTGCTTACTCGCATATTTTCTGGGGGGAAAAAAAAAAAAAAAAGAATCTAATCCATCCATAATCAAAATTATCGCTTTAAATAAGAATCTTTAACGAAACAAGGAGAACTATAAATAGGACGAAACTTGTATGTATATTGGAACTATTATCTAGGTTTGGGGAATTCATTCAAGGTGAATTTCGAGTTAGATATCTTCGCTTACATAGAAGTTAGTGAAGAAGTTTCTGTTAATATATTATGTTGGAATTTAAGGCATCATGTTGTTTCAGGGAACCTACTCTTTAAGTAATTTGTGAAAAAGATTTTACTTGAATCTATTGTGAGAGGAAGAAATGTAATTTATTAAATGAGAAAATTACTTGCAACTGTAATAGAGGTTCACACAGGAAAAAAAGGGACGTTTCAGAGTTCATTGCCATAATATGTTGTGAACACTTGTATCAACGTGTTTGTCAGACATGATTATTTGTAAACCACTAAACCCCCATTTTAGTTGACAACAATAGAGGAATTTCGCGAGGTTTCACGGTGATATGGTTTACTTCGATACACAGTAGGTTTTGTCTAAGTATAATTATTGATCAAAGTACATTTTTCAATGAGAACATGTTCTTTTTCAGCAATTCTGGACAACCAAAAAGAAACTGCTTCAAGGTCATTGATTATTTTTTTTTTTTATCTGGATATTCTTAACATCTACTGTTGGTGAAACTTTTACGGCATTCAATAAAAAGAAATAGTTCCACTCTTAGAGGAGCGTGCTCCTGTTCAATCATTTATCAATTGGAATTAACATTTAGATACATTTTGATTTCAATAACAAACTTCGTGAAATCTTTCCCGGTATTAGACAGGTTAATGGTCACTGATTGATACATTTTAAAGAACCCACTAAAGATCTGTATGGTTCATGGATTCTCCATTACCAAAAATTTCTGGTCTTTAATGATCTACTGGTGTGGTGGTTTTTTTTTAAAAAAAATTGTGTTAGTAGACATAATATTTTTTTGGTAGTCAACTTTGCACAGATTTTATTAGTTTCAGTGGTGGTTCAATTTACAGAACCCATTGGAGGAGAAATTTCTGTTGCATATGAATCTGTGAATGATGAGAACATTCCTAAAACATCGATGGAGAAAGCTTTAGCCGAGCAGTTGAGAAGTAGTAAATTCTCAAAGTCGGTTGACAAGTCTCAGAAAAGGAGTTGTTACTACACATCAATTCCCCGTATCATCAAGCACAAGGAAATTCGTGGGCAAGAACTTACTTCTTTAAATCTTGACAAGGTATCAATTGTTACGTTTTCTTTTCGAAATATTACTGAATTAAACAAATTTTGGTCATTTTCTTCTTTTTGCTTATTTGGGTAAATATTATACTTTTCTTTTTCAGACACAACTATTAGAGAGCATTCTGATGAAAGATTATGGAGGTGACGAAGACTTGCTTCTAGGGGAGCTGCAATTTGCGTTTATTGCATTTTTGGTATGAATAGAGCAATATGACATCTCTCTATGTATTCTTTTCTTCTGTTCTCTTTCCATTTCTTTTTCTCTCGATTCAGTTTATATATTATAAATATATTTTCTGATTTTTGCTATGTATAATTTCACAGATGGGACAATCACTTCAATCATTTTTACAGTGGAAATCTTTAGTTAGCCTCTTATTGGGTTGTACAGAATCTGTAAGTATTGATTTTGTTTGCCAGTTTTCCATTGACTTGGAATCCTTTTAAGTGAATTTAATTCACTACAATAACTACTGTCCACAACGTAGAAAAAGCACTCATTACTGTACCAGTTCCAGAGGAGCAAAAAAAAAGGGATGTTTTGTTAAATAGGTACAAGAAAATGTTTATAAACATAATGATATAAACATGAATACTCATATGAGCCACAGGAACATTTCCATATAGAATTCAAAAATCTGCCCATAAAATGTCAAAGAATTCCTGTTTTTTATTTTTATTTATAGCTTTCCTCGTCATGGCACTCCATGCTAGTGGAGTGGCATACTGAAAAGAATGGTTTAAATTTTTTTTTTTTTTTTGGGAAGGGGGGGGGGGGGGGGGGGGGGGGGTCCCTCCTCCATTCAACCCAAATTACTTCAAATATGTTTCAATCAAAATATCTATGCAAATCCATATTGTGCGGTGCTTGAAGATCGCTAATTGGGTTTTGATTTGATTTATGAAGAAACACTTTTGGAGAAGTAGTTGCATTTTCCTTTGCTCTTTTGAATTTCTTTTGAGTGGACATTGTTTCATTCCATTTGTTCTCTCCATCAATCACTTCTAATTCAAAATTTCTTTTTAGGTTTCTCTTCGACCATAAGATTAGATGCAATAATAGTAACTGGGTTTATGTAGGTTTTGGAGTATAAGTACAATGCCACATTTATCTAATTCAGTAAATGAAATGCTTTTCAACTTTACGAAGATACTGATTTCTACTGATAGCTGAACATCAGAACAGACCATATTACCTTTCACAACCTCTCTGTATGTTTCTTTTCATTTAGATGTTCACCAAATGATGTACGTAAGATACTTACCGGGGAAAAAAATGCCGTAGGTAAGATATGAAAGACCTCCCAACCTCCCACAGTCCATTGTTTTGCATCAAAGGGTCAATCCCAACGGTGAATGAGCTCTAAAAAGTTCATAGGGATGATAAACTGAAATCTGAAGAGATAGAAATGTTTATATTAAATGTTCCATTTGACGTTTAGCATGAAGATTATGTTGTTAAGTGGTAGAACTGTTGATTGTGGCATCAGACGTATAATATTTCAATAATCCTTGTTTCGTATTGGACTGCTGCAATTTGGGGTGAACTTGCATTAGGTGGTAATATAAAAAAAATTATGTGAGTGAGGAGTCTATATATCCCATAGTAGTTACTAATCTCATTGCTAACCACATTACGAACATTTTCTTCACTTGAACATATTTACACTGCATTTTGGATTAAATTAATTGAAAGAAATGAAATGAAAAGTAAAAGTCATGTTTGCTAAAAAATGAGAGGGGGAAAGGAAAAAAGGAGGGAAAAGGATGGATAGCTAAATCCCTCAAATTTGCAACTAATAAATCTTCTCAATGAAGATGTATTTTAGTTGCTAGTATAATCATATTGCTCCATTGAGTTCATATTTAAAATTCCAGAATGTACAATTTTCTTGAAAAGATTCATTGGCTTCAAATTTCGACAACATGCCTGCATAATTTTGAACTTTCGGAAGAAATAGTAACCTGTATAAAATCCAAATCCTGGAACTCCATAATCAACATATCTAAATACTCTAATCAAAATTATAGAATTGAAAGATATTTCATTCATAATTCGTAAGCACACCAAACATAGAGTAAAGTTCTAAGGTACATACTGTTCCCAACTTACAAAGTTTACATATGAAGTTTAGAAGCCTTTTTATTTTACATCACCAACTATTGCAACCCAGAAGCCAATATATACACATAGCAAAACATACAAAAACTCCTCTACTTCTAGCCATGTGAGTCAAGCAAGTACGTGAGTAGGAAGCATCAAGTTTTAAGCATGTAATCAGCTCTCTAGCCTCCATCGTGAGCAAAATTTGGGAGGGAAAAATATAGGGGTGAGCTAACACAGTTCAGTAGGAAGTAATTCTAATTTTTATAACAACATAGATAAATATAAATAAAGAACAACATGAATTCAAAGTAGTGGGAATATAGTCAAATAGACAACAGTGAATATTTAGCAAATTAATTCTGTATATAAAACATTAATTCCAATTAGAAAGTTTTGATTCAAAGAGATACTCCCTGTCTATTAAGGGCACTTACTAGGGTCCTTTATAATGATTAACCTCCAACAATTTCATTAACCTTCAAAACCTTTTAGGGACTCCGGGATCGTGCCCCCCCTCACGTAAGTCTTCATAGCCTTTTAGGGACTCTTTCTCACCGGGACTGTACCCCTTGTATAAGTCTTCATATTCTTTTATGGACTCTTACCCTGGGACAATGTCCCTCGTACAATAATCAACACCATAATATGTCCAATATTGCAGAATAATTCACAGGACTCTGTCGTCTCAAAATACCTTTCTCAATTTCATTTCCAATTAACCCAGATTATAAAGTTGTCTTTAATTCAAGTCATATCAATTACAAATTGTATTCATGTCGATTAACATATAAAACTTGCATTAATTCCGATATGTTAATAAATTCTACAAGCATGCATTCAAACAACATTTGAATTATAACCAAATACACATATTATGTCTCATCTCACAATTTCAAATAGATTAACAATTATATCAATTAATATATCAGTTTATATAATTTTACAACTAATTTACCATAAAACAACGAATTATATAATATTTTTGCAGGAACCAGTAATTAGGATTAGAACCTAAAAAAATTAAAAATAAAAATTTATGTAGAACTTAGAATAGGAAAATTCCATACTTGTAATGCGGTCCTGCTAAGATTGTAGAGAGAATTCCTTCTTTCTTTCTTTTTTTTTATCGTTTTCTTCTTTCCTTCCCTCTCTTTACATTTTCCCTTTCCTTGCCATCTCTCTTTTAGTATCAATGTGTTATGTATATACCTATAACACACACAAGCAAGGAAAAAAAGGGAGAAACAAAAAGGGAATTCGACCAGAGAAGGGAGAAAGAGATAGGAGAAAAAGGAATTTTATTAGGATTATTGCAAGACCACACTAGAGGTAGGGAATTTTCCTATTTTATAAGTTCTATATAGAAATTCATCTTTTTTTAAAAAAAAAATTTTAATTTCTTGTTCAATTACTTGTTCATGCATAAATATTATCTCTTTCTTTGTTTTATATTAAATTTAGTTGTTAAATTATATGAATTGAGATTATAATTGATACAATTGTTAACCTATCTGATTAGTTTAGATGGAATGTGATATATGTGTATTTGGTTATAATCTTGATCTGATTTGGATACATGGTTATATGAATTATTTTCATGTTGGAATTAATGGAGATTTTATATGTTGGTTGACATGAATATATTTTATAATTGATATGATGTGAATAAAGACAGGTTGTATCTTAGTCTAACAAGAAATGAAATTGAGAAGGGTATTTTGAGATGTGGTACCGTGAATTGTTACAGGGAATTGTATATATTATGGTATTGATTATTGTACGAGGGGCACGGTATCGGGGTGAAAGACTTCCTAAAAGATTCTGAAGGTTAATGAAATACAAAGGACCCTAGTAAGGGCCCTACAAGTTAGATTAATAAGAGGTATCTCTGTTTTTTTTTTTTTCCTGAATAAGAGGGGTCTCTTTCAATCATATCTTTCTATTTGGAATCAATATTTTATATCCTGATTTAATTTGCCAGATGTTTCATTATTTCCTATTTGACTATATTCCCGCTACTTTGAATTCATCTCTATTTGTATTTGTTTTCATATTAGATTGTTATAGAAATTAGAATAGTGTTACTTCTCTACTGAGTTGTGTTAGCTCATCCCTATATTTTTCCCCGGTCTACCCATGGTAAGGCTAGAGACTTGATACTTCCTACGTACATAAGCACTTGATTGACTAGTCTATATGTAGGATAATTTGGTGTATATTTCATCGCATGTACTATGTTTTGTGGTTTGTAATAGTTATATTTAAATATAAAAGTTTATGAGTGAAGGATGTGTGAAGTCTGAAACCTTGTGTATAATAGAATTTAAATCATATGAGCGGACATGTTTTGGGTAATTAATATTACCAATGGTTTCTATAATTTGAATGTATTTTTTAGATATGTTGGTTATGTGATTCCAAGATTTTAATACAGATTCCTTTTCATGTCGGAAGTTCAAAATCATGTAGGCATATTGCCGAAATTTGCAACTAATGAATCTTCTCAATGAAGATGTATTTTCAGGAATTTTAAATATGAATTCATTAGCTGAAGAGATGGAAATGCTTTTATTAAATGTTCCATATGTACCTTAAGGAGAAAGATTATGTTGTTAGGTCAGAGAACTGTTGATTGCGGCATCAGAGATATAGTGTTTCAATTATCCTTGTGTCATGTTGGACTGCTCCAATTTGGGGTTAACTTGCATCAGGTGGTCATATCAAAAAATTATGCGAGTGACGAGTCAAATGACATATATATCGTAAAGTTGTTACCAATCTCTCACTGGCTCATTGCTAACCACATTACAAACAGTTTCTTCACTTGAACAGTTGAACTTATACTCTCAAACTTTGTTTATGGATTGAATGAATTGGAAAGTAAGGCAATGAAATGAAATGATTCAAATGAAAGGAAAAGTCGTGTTTGCTAAAAAATAAGAGGGAAAAGGAAGGATAGCTAAATCCTTTGCCCGTGAATTCACTATCCTTCCAAATGTGAGGAAACGGGAGGTAGGGATTGGAGAGTTAGTGATTACCCCATTTGCCTGTGAATTCCTATTTTACCCTTAACACACACAAAATAATACAATCATTTCTTTCTTTTGTCTCAACTATCCTTCTCCAAACATGATGAAGGGATACTACTACTATTTCATTTCTTTACCCTCAATTATCCGAAGATAAGGAGTGATTAACACTATCCTTTTCTTCCCTTCTTCTCTCTCATAATTATTTTACCATTTTTGTTCCTTTTCTGCCCTAGTTATCTTCTATGTACACTTTACTATTCTTTGCTGGCTGAAAAGATTGATGGAAAAGGATTGCCTTAATGTCGCTTTAGCTTCCAAAGAACTTGTAATTGAATCATTTAAAAGTAAGTCTCAAGTACAGAGATTCCTCCATCTATCTCTCTTTTCATATATGTATATGTTATTGAAAGCATTAAGGCATTACTCAGTGAACATCAAGGCAGTTGGTGCTGAAAGGGGAAGACTAAAGGCAGAATTGATTTTTGGCATTAACCTGCACAAAGTAGCTGCTATCATACCCAAATATCACGCTAGTCAATCTTTATCTTTTACCAGTGCACCAAACAATGAATCATTTTGTCAGATCCACAACAGTTCCCTAATACTCTGTTGTGAAGTTTGGATGTTATACTTAATGAGTTTCACAGCTACTTCTGAGATTGTATGATTTGTGTAGAATTTCCTTCATGAGTTACTTTTGGATCTAGAGTCAATTTTATCATTATAATCTTAAAGACACATCTAATTTATTGACCGAAATCCTTCATCTCTCCCTCAGCATTTCTCTTGGTGTTGAACATTGTGAAATTAGCATCAAAGGATGGTGTATATATAATTGATAGTCAAGACAACTCTGATGGGATTCATCTTGATATAAGAAGTCCCCTTCAAATTTTCCATCAGATTGGAAGCATGCCATATATGTTATGTTTGTTTGGTCCTATGATCTGGTTAGATCACACTGCATTTATCATTCGTTCAGTATCATTTTTATGAGTTCCACTATATAATTTTGCAAAAAGCAGCTTGTCAGAAGTGGAGTTATCCTGTGCTAAATTTTATTACTTTAATAAAAATATATTAAAATCCTTGATGAGGAAACAATTGGGTTTTTATGTGAAGCCAAACTTTGTTCGGCGGCCAATTTCTTTTTTATTTTTTTAATTTTATTTATTTATTATTATTATTTTTTAATCCTGGCAAACTAGGGGGAGGGGGAACTCAAACACAGGCACACCCGCTTGGGGAGCTGGGTGCTCTACCAACTTGGCCACTGGGCAGCCAATTCTTTATTGTCATTGTAAAAACTTAAAAATGTTTATGCCTCTTTGTTAAGATGGGGTGGCTCTTAATGATGTTTATCATGACAAAGTCCTAGCACTTCAAATTGAAACTTATGGTGTCTCTTTCTTAAACTGTTGGAGGACTTGGTGGTGACAAATTTTGAACTTTCCTGTAACATTGGTTGAAGTTGATTCAGTTTAGGCTTGTATTTATGTCATAATTTTTGTGTAAACAATTGAATTTTTATTTTTTTGCAGCCCCTCCATACAAGGAGTCAGCTATTCACCAAGGTAATATTTTAGATTGTATCCTTTTCTCAAGTAATTCAGTTTTTTTCATTGAAAATTCCAACTGTGGGGTTCCCTTGGGATGCGCTCCCCTTTTGAGCGCTTTTTATAAATTTCTTACTTATCAAAAAAAAAAAATTCCAACTGTGTGATCTGGAATGCCACTGCACGGAATCTTATAAGTATTTAAATTCAACACAGCAGAGCCTAGTTGCAACTATTTGGGGTTAAATGCATGCATCTTAGATTTCATATTATAAAATAAAATAAATAAATAAAAACAGAAAAAAAAAAAGAAGAAGGGTAAATTACTTTCACCTCCCCTCATGTTTGGCTTAAATATTATTAGATTAAAGTTGTGAATAAAAAAATATAGTCAACTTGCTTGAGAACTGTTGGAAATAACTCTGGTCTCCCTTATTTTAAGTTGACCGTCAGACACATTAAAACATAATTCTTAAATTCCAAAGATGCCCTCATGTACAATCTCCCCTCTCCCCCCTCTCTACTTGAGCTTTCGCTAATGTACTTCCAAGTGCCTTCGATACATCCACCTAACAACTCACCACAAGAAACCTCTTACTGGCACAAGCATCATTCACAATGCCACCCAACTCTGTATAAAAATACATGCATATATAATATATCACTGTGCATTTGTGTGTATTATATATATATCAAAGCCCCAATCCACAAAGCTATTCAATTGCCATCGAACATTTCAACATTTAAAAACTTAAAAAAAAAAAATTCTATTTGCACATGGACATGTTTCTGCTATGTCTAATAATTCTAATTGGTTTTAAAAATCTTGTTGATTTGGATAAAAAAAACTGAGGCCGTGGGGGATGTGGGATGCAAATCCTTCGTGGAAGCTTTTAAAGGAGATGGGATATGATAATTGTGATGAAATCGGTAATTGATTTAGAGAGAGAGAGAGGGGAGGTGGTGCTGGAGGCTATTAATGTAGTATATTATGATATCATTGATATGTTACGACTAAGTGCTAAAGACGGTGGTGGTGGCTTTGGAAATTTGTAATATAAATATATAGATGTATTTTAGATTTTGGGAATTCTTACCTTGGGCACAACTCGCGGTGGTGATAGAGAAGGTGATCATGGTGGAGAGAGTGGGGAGCGGTGCCCTGGTGGTAGTGGAGGGAGAGGGGCAAGCAGTTGGGAGAGAGTGGGGGCAGCAGTGGTGGGGAGAGTGTATTTACAGAGACCAAAAAAAGGGCATTGAAAAGAAAATAAAGAAATTTAGAGGGTAAAACTGTAAAATGGTTTGTTATGTCAACTAACCTTCTCTGACAAATGGTGTTAGAGTAATTTTTGCAAAACTTTAATCTAATGGTATGTAGGCTAAACCTTTGGGGTTAAATGCATGCATCTTAGATAAAAAAACAAACTGTTAAATGGTTTGTTATCTCAACTCACTCACTCTGACAACTGGTGTTAAGAGTAACTTTTGCAAAACTTTAATCTAATGGTAAGTAGGCTAAACCTTTGGGGTTAAATGCATGCATCTTAGATTTCATATTTAAAATATATATATATATATATATATATATATATATAAATGCATGGATCTTAGATTTCAAGAAGATGCTATACATAAAGGACAAAATTGAAAGGGTCACTCCTGTTATCTTCTTCTGTCAAAAATGGAAATATAAATAAGTCCACCAAAGTGGATCATTGGATTATTTGATACCATCGCTAGATAAAGTAAAAAGAAATAGAAAAAAGTCTACCTTACTGTTTTGCTCTGTTTGGGACCTATCTGGTTTAATCATTGGCTTTATGTGTTTTACTTCTGTTTTTCTTTTTCCTGGCACCCTATCCACATTCTTTTAAATCTCATCTTATTTTTTAGCACCTTAATTCATGTTGCTTTTTGTTGGTGTTGGTGTTGCTCTTCATTGCACATGAGCAACTTATCTTGCCTTGCTTTCTGTCCTTTTACATTTTGTTTGTTCTGAAATTTCCATTTTATGATAGATATAGAATGAGGTCGGTTCTAATTTCGTTGGCATTTATCCATAGCCTTACATTCTGCATAAGAGTTTCTTGTCTGGTTATATCCAACTCTTTCATCTTCTTTTCTGGGTTTCTATGCAACCAAATATTGGCAATTGTTGTGGTTGTTTCCTTTTCTTTCCCTGCTGATATCTGAATTTGATAGATTTCTTGCAGTTTGTTAAAGTCATCTATCATCAGCTGAAGTATGGATTTCAAAAAGAACACACAGATACTGGTGGCGCAGAGAAGGGGGCATTAACATTGTTAGATGAGTCTTGGCTATCTGCTGACAACTTTTTACGCCATCTCTGCAAGGTAGTCACCTGAGGTGATTAAAACATTATGTATGTACTAAAATTATCTGCAATCAAGCAGCCTATTGCTGCATCACTAACTAGCAGAATTCTGAAATCACTTTCAGCCAGTGGAAGTGCTAGGTATCTTGTAAATTTCATGAAACTGTTTTTCTAATCACAAACATTTTAATACTCAATTAAAACCTTCTCGCAAGTGAAGTTTTGAGGAGACTGATGTTCTGATATGTTATTGGCTTGAAAAGATCATATTATGATTTTATCAGCCATCTTCTAATTGTGGATCGAACTAGAATCTTTTGATAACACAGTGAGGTTTGCAGGATTTCTTTTCAGTGGTGCTAGAAGCCCCAGTTGTTGATGGTGATCTTTTATCATGGGTGTGTATTCTAGACCTTTCTCTCACTCCCTGCTTCATTTTTTTTTTTTCTTTTACAATTATATTATTGTCACTTGTTGGCTGGTGCTTGACAAGAGTGTGAAATTATAATATTATTAATATGTCCAAGAATGGAAGTGTGCGAGTGTACGTACATAAAGTATTGGTGTTGAATGTGTCTGACAAGACATGGCTGCTATCAGGTGTGTCTGAAATTGTGATGGCAATTATTACATATTAGCAGGAAAATCACAAACTATTGGTCTTATAATTTCTCCTCCCCAGAAACAGGTTTGTTATAACCCCTTTCCTTATCTTAAAAGATCCTGATAGACATAACCAACCTTCTTGTTTTTTCAACAATCGAATGGTAGCACTCGTAAGAACACAAACAACCTAGTTGCTATCCACAACCCAGGATAATTCCAGAACCTTGCCTTTTCGTGCCTTACCAGAGCCCCAATACCTTTCCCCTTGAATCTTTACAGACACTAAGACTCTATATGTCAGTAGCCTTTGGCCAGAAAGGTATTCCATATTCCACCTTCAAGATTCCTCTTCCATGCTTTTTTACATCTATTTTTACTGATTGTAGGTTTGGAAAAGTGTTTCTCAGCAATTGTCCTGCATTAGTTATAAAGTCTTATTATAGACCTGAGAAAGAACAATGCCTTCATTTGGGATCTCCTTTTCTACTTATTCTTTTTTTTTTTTTTTTTAAATAATAATAATAAGTACATTATTATTATTATTATTGTTTGTTTGTTTGTTTTTTGTTTTTCAATGCCACTTATTCCTGTTGAGGTCCATCTTTCTATTTTTATCAGACAAGGAAATTCAAAGAGCTGCTTGAGGACACTCTTGGATGGGACTTCAAGCTGAAAAGCGCGGTAGATGGAACATACTGTGAAGATGACGACGAGGTTGGTGTCAGAATGGATAGTTAAGAACTGTTCAGTCTTTCCAGTGTTAATAATTTAAATTTTCTATTCTCCATTTTTTCTGTCTCCAAATTATCATTCAAATTTCTGCAGTTTGCTCCTGTGGTTGAGATGTTGGATGACTCAAGTTATAATGAAGGTTTGGCTGCATAGACATGGACAGAAGCCATTGATCCTGATTAAGTAGCAAACGTCAGACAATGCGGTTTGATCTTCTGTTTTCTGCATCTCCAACAAGCAAGAGGGACAAATTAAATCTAACACAATATGTGATAGCTTTTCTCATTTTTATCAAAATCCTCTTATAGTTAATTTAAGTCACTGTCACTGTAAAGTAACAGAAAAGTTGGTGTATCTGAATTAGTGATGTGAAAAATGGAAATCGCAGACATTTATGAACTTGATCGCATGAATGAATTTTGAATGGAAGGGAGAGGGGGAAGGAGGGATGATACATCCCTAGGGAAGGGAAGGCAACCTTCCCCACTAACGAGTAGGAGACCCACCCCTTTGTTTGGTAGGAAGGATGGAAAGAGGTGGTTTTGGCTTTTGAGCACATTTGCCAATTTATCCCTCTTTGAAACTCCTTTTTAATTATTACTAAAATAATTCTGAATTTGGACTAAACGTATGGTTCAGCTAATAGATTATGAAATAGTCAGTTTTAATTTAAAACTGAATTTGCAATTATGAAATTGTCATTTTTTAACCATTGCCATAGGTTGGTTTTTATTATATTTTATTTTATTTTTTTTAATCAATCTCTGTTAGTTAAATATAAATTTCGTAGGATTTAGTTTCACAAAGTAATTTTTTTTTTTTTGGAAAGATGGTAGGATTTTTTTTTCCACAGTAATTTGGGAAATAGTTAAAGGGTAAAATTGTTATTTTATATTAATGCTACAGATTTTCTCCTCTCCAAAAATTAGTGGACGAGCATCTTCAATCCTTCCTGTTTCCAAACAAATAAAGCGTTATTGAAAATCAGGTTTGTTTGCCTTAAATTGGTTTTTAGGTAAAAAAAAAAAATTTCCCCACGTAATAACTAAGAATAAAGCATTAAGATGTTATGACCTCCTCCCCAGATTAAAAGGGTGGAGAGTGAATGGAATGGGAGAATCAAGGTTAACTATTGAAGATGTAAAAGGTTCGTAAAAGATTGGAGACGTAAGTTGCATTCAGTCTTCCACTGCTAGCAATCAGCAACACATTTTGGCTTAGTCCTGGGAGGTTAGTGGATAGTTCATCTTGGAGTCCATGTTACCATGTTCTTTCATATACTTTCACCTGCCAACAAAATGCCTGTCACTGGATGGCATAAGTTCTTCTCCCCTTTCATCCTCATTTGAGGAGGTTTGAGCCCCAACAGGGGCAAAATATATAGGGGGCAGAAAAAAATGCTCAGCAGTACCCAGTCAGAATTCAGTATAAACATCTACTTTTCTACTTGTGAGCAGTCGAAGCCATGTAAACCCTCTGCAATTCTTCACCTCATGTTACACGTGCAATAATTTTTTAAAAATTTTATGATTCAAACGATGTCTTGATGCATCGTCACCGCACGCCTGGGCGTGCACGGTGAGAAAGGTCTATGGTTTCAGTTCGCTATACACCACCTGTAAAAACTAGAAGAGTAAAAGGTCAAACAGCTACAAGTTCAGTTGAATTCCATATACAAACCTCCAAATTCAGCTGCCCAGATGAACCTAAATAACTAAATGGAATCAGAAGAAAATCCATTGGAGGAAAACCTTCTACCCGTCCTGGAAAATTTTGTGTACACGATTTTAATCTAAGGGAGCTGATTCCCCTATCAGAAACAATATCATACAAGAAATGCTCCTTCGACAGGCTTGGTCCAATACGAGTAATCATGACCGTATGCCCAATATTTTCAAGCCCCTTGTTGAGGAGAAAGAGTATACCATCATCCTCCGCTTGAAGAACAAAGAATGACTCATTCGCACTTAAGGAGACGAGCAAAGGGCAGTTGTATTGGAAACGCCTGCCAGAATCCCAATGTTTGCTGCCGAAGTGTAGTGACAACTGTTCAGATGAGCCAACAAAGTTGCAATCCTGAAGGGGGCATGCACATGGTGCACAAATGCATGTTTCTTCATGGTCATTTTTCTTCATGTAATCCACTGTTTCTGTACACCCATACTCTGTGTTTCTACAAGGTGCTTTGACCAATTCAACCACCACTGCAACGTCCCCACGCACTACATTCCCTCTCTCATGATTAACTGGTATATTTGCCTGTCAAAAATGCATGTCAACCTAGTTATTGGTTATGAACAAAAAAATGACAAGGGAAATACAAAATCATAAAGCTGAAGCTACAAATTTTACTCATAAATCTAGGAAATTACAAAATCAAGTAAATTTCCAATGAAATACATAGACTAGAAAATCTGAATTGTTACTGTCTCCTTTTTAAATATAACACAAGGTTTATTGTATCGTTTATTTGAAAAAAAATTTATCTGTTGGTAAAGTTTCCATCTTATTTGGAGCTAGTTCAAGTCAAAAGCTGAACAGAACATCATTTACTTGATAAAATACTATTCATTTTCTTCAACTATTACAATCATAAGCCAAAAAGGGATACAACTCATGTACACTGAGTATACAGGAGTGATAACTAAGCTCTCTCTACATATAAATCAATTTGCCTATACACAACAAAGAGTGCAAGGAAACTGGAAATTTTTGTAAAATCCACATGTAAAGAATTCAATTTCAATCACTTCGACTTAAAAACAAGTATATCTAAATGTTCGTGCGTGTTTTTATTTCCCATCAAAGACTCCATATGAAACAAAGAGATGCAACTAGCAAAACAAAAAACAAACATCTTGGAGTTCACTCTAACATTCCAAGTCTTTCCAAGGAAAGCCAGTCCACTCTCTACCACAAATGCTCTACAACAGGATTTTACTGTAAAGTAGTTGTTCTTTGGCACAATTCCATCAAAGTATCCCCTATGACTCCAAATGGAAGATCTAAACAAACTCACAAAATAAAATAAAAGAGAATATTCATGGACTCCAAATTTCAATCCTAAATGAACTGACGCTTCCAAAACACATCTCCTCAGTGTATCTAAGCAATTCAAAAAGAAGGTATTTAGAGAGGCATATCCATACCACATAACATGCCAAAATCTCTTTATATGCATGTCACCACCTAGGCGTGACAATTCGTGTTACTGTTTTGTATTCGTGTCATGTCACATGGGTTATTATGTGGGTCGACACGAAAATTATTCATATCAAGGAACCTTAACGCAAACACAACACAATTATTAAACAAGTAAGAGGACATCGCTTATGTAACATGTTTAATAAATGGGTCAACTGGTCCAGACTACACAACAAGACACAATTAATTAAAATTTCATATTATTAGGGTCATTTCTATCACGAACACAACATGTTTATTTAAATAGGTCAATTCTAACATGAACACAACAAATTTATCCACGTTTAAGGTTTGCGAAGAACTAGCCCATACTTTTTGAAAATGTGCATATTAAGTCCATAAAATTCAAAAAAAGGTGCAAGTAAGCCCCTCTAAATATAAAAACTTATTTTACCCTTTTGATTCCCATTTGCCCCGCCCCCCCCCCCCCCCCTTCTCTCTCTCTCTCTCTCTCTCTTTTTTCCATATCTACATATTATTTGTTTCCAAAAATCTCGATTACAAGTACTTCATAATGAAGCCTAAATTAATTGATAAAAAAATATAGTAAAAACTGACAAGTAAAAAAAAAAAAAAAAAAAACACATATATACGTACTGATATAATAAAACTGATAATATAATAAAAACTATAATAAAAATATAAAACTGATTATATAATAAAATTGATAATATAATAAAAACTGATAATATAATAAAACGGATAATATAATATAATTTGATAATATAATAAAAAACCGATAATATAAAAATATATATAAAATATAATAAACCAATAATATAATAAAAAAATATAATAAACTGATAATATAATAAAAATATAATACACTGATAACATAATAAAACTGATAAGTATAACAAAATATATATATATATATATATATATATACATAATAAAAACTGATAAGTAGATGAATGGTATAAATATAACATATATACACAGATGTATATACGTACTAATAGTATATATACATATATAATTATATATACACACAAAACACATTTGCGAGAGTAGCAATATGTATACTCACACATACACATGTATTGAGAGAGAGAACAAGAAAGGGAACAACGTATGGGAGACAAATCTGGAGAGAGATTTGCTTACAAACCCATTTAAGAGAAGCTGTAAAAAGAAACAGTGACGCGGATAGATAATTAGAGAGAGAGAGAGTTTCTGGAAGGGACTTCAGAAAGTACTCGCGTATTTTTTTTTTAATAAGTAAAAATAACATTAAAAAAGGCGTTCAAGAGGGGAACGTGTCCCAATTACAAAAGTGGAACCGGGACTAAGGCCCCAAAGAATCTAAGAAAGTAATTAAATCATCAGAAGAGGAACAAAAGCTCCTCATCACATAATTGAAAAGAGAATGAAGAATGTAAAGTTTGACCATTGCCGTAGGCAATTCTTTCCCTTCGAACATTCTGCTATTTCGCTCCCTTCCAAATGCACCACCATACACAATGTGGTACAATTCTCCAAAAATCGCGAACATCTCTTCTCACTCGACATCCTCTCCAAATATGGATTAATTCCTTCGTAGATCGAGGCATCACCCAACAAATGCCAAACAACCCAACAATAAGATTCCAACAGTCGTTAGCCAACCCAACAATAAGATTCCAACAGTCGTTAGCCACAGGGCAATACAAAAGAAGGTGATCAACGGACTCCTCATCATTCTTGCATAGACAACAGCGATTAACAATACAATTGCCCCTTTTCCTCAAGTTATCAATTGTTAGAATCTTTCCCCACACAGCGGTCCAGACAAAGAAAGCCACCCTAGTTGGAGCCATGAACCGCCAAATAGTTTTCCACGGGAAGTCTCGATTAACAAAATTAGACAAACATAAGAACAAGGATCTAACTTCGAAACGACCGTGGGAAGAAAGAACCCAAATCAAAGCGTCATTATCCCTGCCAACGCCCTCTTGCCGATACAGAAGATCCAGAAAAACACATACCTCGTCCATCTCCCAATCCTGAAAAGAGCGCCAAAAATGCACATCCCACGTAATCCCGCTGCTATCAAGCCAATAACAGTCAACTACGTAGGCGTGTTTATCAATAGTAATATTGAATAATCTAGGGAATGTACAAGAAAGTGGCTGATCACCACACCAAAGATCTTCCCAAAACCGAATGCGACGTCCATCATGGACTTTGAATCTGATATGAGTAGAAAAAGCATCCCAACCCTTCCGAATAGCCTTCCACATCCCTACTCCTCCCACAAGGGTAACCGGACGTGTAGACCAACCTCCAGCCTCTTCCCCAAACCGACAAGAGACTAACCTGCGCCTGCGCCATGGATGATGTCTTTCCCTCCCAAATCTCCATAACCATTTACCCAGGAGCGCTTGATTGAAAGGAACTAAACGTCTTATTCCAAGTCCACCCAATTTCACAGGCTTACAAACTTCCTCCCATCTGACAAGGCGGTACTTGAACTCATCGCCCTTTCCTCCCCATAGGAAATCCCTTTGAATTTTTCAATCCTATCTGCAACGGAACAAAGGATTTGGAACATAGAAAGAAAATAAGTGGGAAGGGTCGATAACGTACTCTTGATAATAGTAACTTTACCCCCCTTTAACAAGTATTGCTTCTTCCATCCTGCCAATCTCTTCGCATACCTGTCAATCACGGAATCCCAACTCCCCACTAACCTTGAAGAGACTCCTAGGGGCAAGCCCAAATAAGGAATAGGGAAAGAACTCACCCTGTATCCAAGGACTGCAGCTAAAGAAGAAATATCTTGAACATTCCCTAGGACAAGCACACTCTTAGCCACGTTGACCTTTAGCCCGAAAACTGCCTAAAAACAAGTCAATATACATCTCAAGTATCGAAGTTGAGACACATCAGCATCACAGAAAAACCAAGGTATCATCTGCAAAGAGTAAATGAGAAATCTCCATCTGATGGACTAAATCTCTGCCAACCCTGAATCCCTTAATGAAACCAAGGTCCTCTGCCCTATGCATAAGTCTGCTTAATCCCTCCATAACAACAAGAAAAAGGAAATATGACAAAAGATCTCCTTGTATTATACCCCGAGAGCAACCAAAGAAACCAACGGGAGAACCATTCACAAGAATTGAAAACTTGACAAACAAAAGACAAGTCGCAATCCACTTCCTCCATTTACTTCCAAACCCCATTCTTTGTAACAAATAGAGTAGGAATTTCCAATTCACATGATCGTATGCTTTCTCAATATCAAGTTTGCATAGAACTCCAAGAATGCCACTCCAGAATCTGGAGTCCACACATTCGCCAGCAATAAGAACTGAATCAAGAATTTGCCGTTCGCCAACAAAAGCATTCTGGGAGTCCGAAATAATCCCATCCATTACTTCCCTCATCCTTAAAGCAAGCACCTTAGCAATAAGTTTGTAAATACAGCCCACCAAACTAATTGGACGGAAATCCTTTATATTTGAAACGCCTCCCTTCTTTGGGATAAGAGCAATGAATGAAGCATTACGCGACTTCTCAAAGACGCCATAAGAATGAAACTCCTGAAAAGTACTTATTACCTCATTTCTTACTACCGGCTAACTTTCCATAAAAAATCGCATGATAAAGCCATCAGGCCCCGGAGCTTTGTCCCCATTACAACTTGATAAAGCCTTAAGAACTTCTTCTTTAGTAAAAGGATTCTCAATCCTATCTCTATCTGGCTCAGAAATAGCCCCAAAATGGAGACCATCAAGTTTGGGACTCCAAACTAAAGGCTCGGTATAAAGCTTTTGATAAAAGGAAGCAATACCGTTACGCACCTCTTCCTCTCTCCACAGCTCCTCGCCTTCCACCCGAATTCTTCTTATATGATTACTTCTCCTATGAGCGTTAGCTAACCGGTGGAAGAATTTTGTGTTCCGATCTCCTTCCTTTAGCCAAAGAGCCCGAGATTTTTGACGCCATGAGATCTCCTCCATACTAGCAATATCAGCAAGAACCGCCTAACAGGAGGCTCTCCTAGAACGTAGAAATTCCACATCCCCTCCCGCCTCCTCGAGACGATCAATCTCAAAAAAATCAGCAAA